AACAAAACAAACAAGAAAAAGCACAAAAACAAAACAACAACAACAAAAAACCCTTGTTTTAGTTCTTATATGTAATTGAAACAAAGCTCCTAATTGCTACAAAGCAAAACCCCCTAAACCAAAGATGTCATAATTTGCAACTAGTAAATACTATTATTATGAAAGTCACCTCATCATAAGGAGCCATCTTTGGGGAATAATTAACATTTATGATTTTAACGAACAAATTCAGTTGTATACGATGCAAAAAGTACAAATGAAAGATGGGAAAGAGCTCTGATGCTCCTAAAAGTTGTATGGATTATAGGCAATTTTCTCTTCTTCTGAACTCATTCAGAGTTCCATGATTTTATTATATTTATAATTAAAACAAATAGTATTCCAAGGCCAATGTTGGTGTATCACAGGTTAAACCACTACCTGTGACATCAGCAATCCAAACAGCTACCAGTTCAAGACCCAGATGGTCCAGTTTTGATCCAGCTCCCTTCTGATGAGCCTGAAAAAGCAGCAGGAGGTGGTACAGCTACTTGGACTCTTGCCTGGTTGAAGCAGCAGATGGAACATCTCTATCTCTGCCTGTTTCTCTGTTACTGTGCCTTTTAAATAAATAAATCTTTAGAAAGCAGTGCTCTGTCCCACAAATATTTTATGGCTTTGTGGTAGGTTTAACAACTTATTACATATTGACTACACACCCCAAAAGCAGAATCTCATCAAAGGATAGGATACTTGCAATCTTACAAGTAGTATGTAATGTAGTAATAAAATCGCAATAAGTTAAATGAGACATACCCACATAAGACTGATGTTCACAAAGGCTTAATGAAGGCAGTAGAATTTGAACTGAATGTTGAAGGTTAGAATTCAACAGTGTTGTTCATTTCTTGGTGGAGAAAGTGCACAAAGGGGGAAAAGGAGGGAAAGCATAATTGTATTTGTGGCATAACGAAGATACATGTTGCTCAATGGAAAGAATGGGAAACATGTGACTTGAAAGTGACAGTGATTCTTGCTTATCAGTTTTTTGCATGTAGGCTATACATTGGGCTTCAGTGTTTGCATCATGGTCACTAATATACGTATTGTGCAGGATGCAAGGTGCTTTCATATTCTGTTTGTTCTTCTCAATGATGAAAAAATTTGAATGGGAGATTTTCATGCTACCTTTGGCCAAAAATTTCAATCAGACAAGCGAGCATCCAAGGTTACAGGGCAGGTTCCTTCTCTATTTGTCCTTCCAGTTGTTCATTCACACAAATAACCTTTTCATGATTTACTGTAATTGTGCACTTTTCCTTCATTATATCTTATTTGTATATAGAAAAACTAATCATTAACAGATTCTACATGATTTTGAAAGATTGCCTTAATATTTTGCATTTGATTAGAGAAAGGGTTTTGATTCAAGATGATATAAATCCTAGATCTGCAATCAACCAGCTATTTTACATTATAACATAATTTTACTGTTTCTGAATATGCATTTATAGTGTCAGCATTTGGGCAATACTTCGTAAGGATGTTCACAGAAAATATGTTAAAAGATGGCCAACATTGGCCCCAACTTAAAATAAACATTAAGGGGAGTTTAATGCTGTTGTTGAAGACAATAATTGATATAACAACTTTGAGTCAATAAATAAGTTATCCTTATTTTATTCTGTTTTCCTAATGTAGTTCAGTCAATTCCTACATGTCCCAGATTTGGAAACATAATTAAAAGCAAACAACTGCCAGCTGCCTAAATATAGGATGATTTTGTCCAGCCACTTGGTATTTGTATTGCCTTTAACTACCACCACAGGCCATTTTGTCTTCTGTAAGGGACTTGGATGATTGCAGCCTAAGAGTGGAAGGGGATGTTGCAATTGAGGTTAACTCTTCTTTAAGCAATGAAACATGTGCAATGAAGAGTAGACACCTGCACGTATTAATTTCCTTTATGTTTAAATCTTTTTAAAAATCGTTAGTGAGCTAAAAAAATAAGAAAATATTACTCTTGCCAGTGTTATAGAATGAAGTTGGTCATTCAAGCTTCAATCTATATTTTTTCTTATCCTGACACTATTTTACATTCTTTTTTCTTATTTTTAAGAAATTTATTTATTTTTATTGTAAAGGCAGATAGATATACAATGAGAAGAATCAGAAAGATCTTCACTCCCCTGGTTCACTCTCCAAATGGCTGCAAAGGCTAGAGCAGAGCTATCTGAAACCAGGAGCCAGAAGCTTCTTCCTGGTTTCCCACATGGGTTCAGGGCCCCAAGAATTTGGGATATATTCTCCTGCTTTTCCAAGTTGAAAGCAGGGAGCTCAATTTGAAGTGGAGCAGCTGGGACACGAACCATTATCCACATGGGATCCTGGTGCGTGTAAGGCAAAGAATTAGTCAATAGGCCATTGCACCAGGCCCTGTTTTGTGTTCTTGAAGTACATATTTAGTATATATTTCTAGAATCAAATCTTTGGTTATAATTTCAAGCCTGTAGAATTAACAAATGTACAGTACCTCTGCTATCTATGGTTGGAATGCTTGTTCCCTTCAAAACCCACATTAAATCCAGTTATCATGGTAAGTGGTAAAAATTTAAGATCTGATTGGTCCACGAGGGTTATGCCCTCAGGTGGGATTGCTACTCTTATAAAATAGCAAGTTGAGGCTTCTGTCTCTCTCCTTTTACCAAAAGGCACTCATAAGAAAGACCTTGTCAGGAACTAGAACCTTGATATTGGACTTCCAAGTGTTTAAAATTGTGAACTAATAAAATTTTTCATTATAAATTAGCCCGTTATTGTCATTCTGTTGATACCAAATAAATACAGACCAAGAGAATCTTCAAGAAATACCACCTAATTTTGCCATGTTTGGTTGTGTTATCCAGAACAGTACTAAATAGCTACCACTCAATAAAGCAAATGTATTTTGTATTTGGCTGTCTTTCTTACAGTGATCTTTTTGCTTCGTCTCATTGCTATTTTATATTTTGCTGATTTTAGATAATCCTTAGGCCAGAGACTTGTATTACATAAGGCTTTATCAGTCATGATCAGAAAGTGATCCATGTGTATTAGTTGGCTTTGGTCTGCTTTACTAACACAGATATAGCAAGTTTATATGTTTATTTTTTTAAACTTACAAAGTTTGCACATTTGATTTTATGATACAGTAAAAGTGATACATACTCAATAGAAAGTATACTTTGAATTTTGTAGATAAGGGACATTAAATGAACTTCCTATTTCTAATATTTTCAATTTAGGATGCATTTGTAAGGATCTCACCTCTTTATAAGCTGAGTATCATCTGCATTCTTACAGAATCAGGTTTGATCAGAGATCTGGCCTATATTATGATGCTTTTGCAATATGTTTACAAGTCCTTGATGCTTTCCATGTTGATAATGATAGGCATTGGTTAGGTGATGTATCATGCAGTTGGGAAAGTATAGATAAAGCTACCTATGGGAAAACAAATGCATGTATGAATATTAATACCATATCTTCTTGTTTTTTTACTTGTTAAATATTATTATTAGTGGCAAATTAGGCCTGTGCATATAGAGCAGATTAAAATTATATCTGCAAGTAGTGTTGAAGAGGAAAAGCAGGGAGCAGTACTGGGGTTTAGAGGAGTGAGAGGAGTTATTGTCTTCATGTAACTGTGCCAATGGAACAAATATACTCTGCTACTTTCCATATTAAGAAAAAATTCAAGTTGCAGACACAGCTTAATTGGTTTAAAGAAATCTGGTCCATAGGCCTATTTTTTGGCAAAATTTTCAGAATTAATTTTTTCGTTGTTTCCACTTTCTGCTACAAACTCCTTCAAGTGTTAACTAAATACAGGAAGTATGAGGTCTAGTTATGGATTTAAAGCAAATGATTCCCAGGGATTGTGAAAAAAGACAACCCAACTATATTTCCTTTACTGCTCATGGAATTTGGTCACAGTGGACGTTTCGGGGAGGCTCAGTTACTGGGGAGATGGCTTGCAGCAAGTCAATCACTGTTCAGGAAAAAATGACAATAGGGGCCACCTTCAAGAGGAGCCTCTTGTAGTTTTGGTACCTTAACATGGAGAGAAGGAGATCCAGTGGGAGAAGCAGCACATTACTCTTACCTTTGTGAAATACTTGGGAGGATCCAAAAGTGTTTCAGGGTAGGGGTTTGGCCTAGTAGTTAGGACCCCTCTCAACTCCTATACTGGAATGCTGAATTTGATGCCCAACTCTATCTGTTGATGATTCCAGCTTCTTATACATACACAACCTGGGGTTCAATAGGTAAAGACTCCAGTAGTGGGATCTCTGCTACCCACGGAAGAGTTCTGGATGGAGTGCCCAGCTCCTGGCTTAGACATGGTCCAGCCCTGATTGTTCGGGGCATTTGCACAGTGAATTAGGGAATATGCGCTCTCCCTGGCTGCTATCTTGCTGTTTCTTTTGAAGTTTTAAAGAAAGGTACTTTAATTGTGACTATCATCATCAAAACGACAAAGTTGGCTGAGAAGCATCAAAGTAAATTTTTTCTAGTTGCAGACTTCTGGACCTAGCTATTGACCTTATGTAGAGGGCTGCCCCACAGCTACTGTTCTACTCCATACCTTTATTCCTCCTTTAACTCCCATTAGCCCCTCTAATTTCCCTGAACAGCTTATTCTGTCAGATTTTTTTAAAATAAAATTGAATGCTACACATTTAGAGAGTTGATTTAATTGTCTGATTCAACTCTTCCCTAGAAAGTGTATGGGTATTTTAATCCATACTCAGGTATTGAATCTTGGGCAAGTTGGATAGCACATAATAGAAAACTCAGAATCCACTGATATTTTTAGCTCACATCATTTTCTCACAAGCAATCTACCATTTTAGCAGCATCCATATTATGTTTTTACATATTAAGCCGTACTTGCAATGCATTTCAGCCGAATCTTCAAACAAATCAATGTAACTTATACGTATGCTTCAAAAGTAGGAATGTGAGAGACATTGGAATTAGTACATAAAGTTTTTATTTAAAGTTTTCCCCTTCCAAGCAAGCTTCATTTACACATTCTAATATTGTACAAAATTTACATCCTGTGATTTATTTATTCACTTTTCACTTTCTAGGAGTTTGCGTCTTTCTGAAATACAGAAAGCTTATAGTTCTCATAAACACTTTTATTTATTTTGGGTAGAAATGAAAATAAAATGAAGGACAAGTGTAAGGAACGCAAATATTCTCCTATAAACTGTGACTTTTGGAAGCCATGGTGACAGTAGACAGTAAAAGATTCTGAAGCTGACCTCGCTCTCTTCATGATGTCAGCTGGAATTTTCACACAAAGCACTGTGACTTTTTATATGCGCATGTTTTCAAGAAAAAAAAACAGGTGTTGATTGCACTGGATATATCTATTTATATATATTTTTTACAACGGATCTTTTGGATCTGAACATAAAATAAATACAAAAACAATGAAGACTGCACGTTACTGTAGAAATGCATTGAATTCTGACATACTCATCCATCATGATGTGCTCCATATGATAGCTTTTCGCCAAGGCAATCTGAATATGTGGCTTTCTGTTGTTTTGTATGACGTATTGGTCAAGAGATTTGTTACATCTTTCCGTGATTAAAAAATAATTGAGATTTTCATTTACGTCTGAAAGTTGATATACAAGAAGAGCTCAAACACCAAATTCATGTTCCTGCTAGCTTAGCTGATTGGTCACCCTTAGAGCATCTCATGCCCTCCTCATCTTCGACTGCTGTATTCCTCATGCTTCTGAGGACTGCTGACTAGTAGTTGGTTGATTACCTGAGTTCAGGTATCTCTGTGATAATTGACCAGATTAAGATGCGTGGAAGGAATAGTGCGGGTAAGTGGTGTCCAGAGGCAGCCAAAGGGGAACAAGAGAAGGACTTTCTCACATGCTGTGATTGGCTCCTGTGCCCCTTTTTAGGTTTCTGTTTTAAGAACACAGACCTGATATTATAATGAAGAGGAATTAATCTTTCTTTTCTTTCCTGAATCCCCAAAAGCAATATACCCCATTTTTATTATGAATCAAGTTTGGGCCAAATGTGTTACGCAACAGAATCGCTGAAGTACTCTGGGACTGAGTTTATCAGCCCTGTTTTTTGAACCAAATAAATACGTGTTCACTACTTATAGCTGCAACAAATGAGAAAGCACAGTTCTTTGTGAACCAAGTGACATAGTCTATTTTGTTTCAATCTTTTGGATAAAGTTAAAGACACAGGGATTATGATTGTGGCTAGCCTGAAACCTATACAGCAGAAAGCAATTACTGTTAAGAGCCAGCATGTTTCTTTTCTTTGATTCAGTCAGGTGCTGTAAGGGCAGAGTGATAAGAAATGAAGTTGGAAAGAAACCAAAATGCCCTTCTTTAATCTTGAGTGATTTTCAATAACTGTGTTCTGGATGGAGTCTGTGGATGGAGTAGTCAGAGGTTAGGAATACAGAATCCAGTTGCAGTTGCTGAAATGCAATGTGAAGATTTTGATGGGTCCAATTTTTGAATCATTCATGAACACAATATCCCCAAAACTTCAACATAGATCGCATGCAGGTAGACTACAATGCACAATACAGATCTTAGGTCTTTCGGGGGTCAGTCTTCTGTATCTTTCTCTTTTGGAAAGTTAACCGCCATATGAGGAGTTTTTGTAAAGCTGGGACAAGTTAAAACCAGTCTGAAATGAGTCTGTCACCACAGGAAGTTTGGTAGGATTTGAGTTACAGACACAGTGTCTGTCCAGAACAGGTCTCTTTTGTCAATGCTTATAAAGTACCAGAAACCTAGGGTGGGTTTTGGCTGTACCACGGGAATGTGTTGCTCCTATGATGATGGTGGCATCACCTGCCACTGCTTCCTCGAATGTGACACTGTTCATTCCAGCAGTTCTTAGTGTTATTTGTTGTATGGTACGCAGGCAGGCAGGATCACTGTAGCACAAGCAGGGCCTGCCAGGGGTTCGGCTACATCACCTTCAAGTTCTGTCCAGGTTCCTTTCTCTGGACAGTAGCATATTGTAGAAGACTTGTAGGCTCCCTGTAATGGGAGAGCAGGAGTGTTTAGTAAAAGGTTTTCAGAGAATTGCTGTAACAGGCCTGTTGCATTTCACAGGATTCCTGTTTTACTATTACTAAATAATCCCAAATGACAGTAATAGATCTTAAACTGTCTTATTTCAAGGGAAAGTTTAGATCCTCAATATTTCAAGATATTTTAAAATATTCTCAACAACTAATAATAAAAGTCCACAAATAACCTGGAACCTGTTTTCAACTGATCAAATTATCTAGCTCACTTTCAGTTTAAAGGACAGAATGCATCTTAAATCTTCAGATATTCGAAGTAACTTGGGATCTGATTTGCTCTTTATTTTTGGTTTGGTATTGTGGAAAATCTGAGCTTAGGTTGGATTACAGGAAACTAGAAAGCAGATTTTTCTAATTCCTGTATATTAACTTATTTTCAAGAGGCCACATGAGAAATAAAAAATGTCTTTGGTTTTGTTTCATTTTCAACATCAAGGGCCAGATTTTGAGTGATACTTCCTTCTCTAAACCAACATGACATTTTTTAAATGGCAGGCAACAAACAAAATGTTAATCTAATATTAATATATTAATGATAAAGTGTGGTTTTGGTATCTATGCCCAAACACCCACATTCTTATAGCTAACAGTTTGCTCCATCAGACAGGCACATATATGGATACATTGTTATACACACACCAAGAAATTCTTGTCTCCATGTAACTAATAACTTTTTAAAGCATTCCTAAACTTTGTGTCACAATTCTGACACAAAATTAAAAAAAATCAGACAATTGCATTGAAACCTCAAATTAATGTCATAAAGCTAAATCAGATAAATAGGAAAATATAAAAATTGTCATTGGTTTGAAAGTGACTATATAAATCACTAGATCCAAGTGTGACTCTTCTAACATGTGGAATTGTTCTTTGGATATAAGCAAGGAGCTGGTTTCAGGGTCCTGTCTTCCCTAGGACAGAAAAGTTTGTGGATGCCCAAGTGTAGGAGGACATTGTGACCCTAGAAGGTCAGTGAGCACAGGATTACAGTTGATTGGACAATATTTGTAATGATAAACAACTGAATGGGTGACTTTTGTGTGACTGATTGGATATCCTTTGCATGAGAACAACTGAATGACTTCCTTATGTATACCTGATTGGATATCATTTGTATAAGAACAGTTGAGTGGAAAGTATGTGTATGAGAACACTTGGTGGAATATACAAGACAAAAGGACTTCCAAACAAAAGCATAGAAACAGTTGATGGGTTTGTTGATGAGCTAAATACCTCCACCCTAATCCTATAGGACCCTCAGTGTATAAAGTCTGTGGCCACTAATAAACTTTGGCTATTGATCATCAGTCAGTTGTCCATGTGTGTTATTATCGGCTCCGTGCACCAAGTCCATCATTGCTGGACAGCAACACCCAAGTCCCTCATAATGTAAAATCTACTGGTGAGTTTTTGGGAGATGTGTAAGAATGACCAAAAAAACCACAAGCATAGATCAAATAAAACCTGTGCACCTCCTCTTGTATAATTTTAATCTCTAAATTGCTTTTTCAAAAGATGTGGGGCTGCAATTTAGGTTAAGATGCTGATTAAGACACCAGTATTTCCTATTGGAATTTTTCTTTCAATCCTTGGCTCTGGAACTTGACTCCAGCTTCCTGTTAATGCAGACCAGAGAAGGCAGCCATGATGGCTCAAATGTATCTCTACCACTCACATGGGAGACACAGATGGCTTTGGTTTGGCCCCATTATAGCACTGTGAGCATCTGGGAGTAACAGTGGATGCCTTTCAAATAATAAAGTATTTTACTTTATTGCTTATGAAATGTTAAGGAAAAAAATCTGTACATATGAACTACTTGCTTGGAAAATTTTACATCTGTGTTTGGCTCGATCTCCAGATGGAACATCCACAGATATGACTGACCTGACTGTAATGGCCAAAAGAAAAAAAATGACAAGTTAGGATTGTTATCTTACACATATCCCTACATTTGGGAGATCTAGAGACTGAACTAATTCCAAAATGAAGGAAAACATATAAAATAACAAGCCTAGTTTGTCAACAAGTCAATGGCATGAAGCAAAGAGTGGGATAGAGGCAATGTTTTAGACTGGGAGAGATTTATGAGACATAATAAATTTTAGTGAGACTCGTTGAACACTGATTTCAGCACATTGACTTGAAAAAAGCATCTTTCTTACAAGCCAATAGGAGAAACTTAAATATGGATTAAATACAAAGGATTTGCTGTTAATTTTGTTCAATGTGATAGGAGTAATGTTTAAATAAGTGAATGACTATTATAAAAAACACTAAGGCATTTAGGATGAAATAACTTGTTGTCTAGGATTTATTTCAAATTGCTCCAGTTCAAAAAATTTTAAAAGTGAATCCAAATAAAGTAAGTTTGATGAGATGTTGATTTATTTTGAAGCTACATGTCAGACTGATGAGATTCACTTATAATTCCTATGTTTGTGTATATTGGAAATTTTCATGATGAGGGAATTAAAAGCACAAAGCAATGACAAATTATGTACCTAAAGAGAATTTATGGATATAAAAGAGTTAATTTCCATTTTTAATGCTTCACTAATTCAGAAACTTTTCAAACTCTTATTCAGTTAGATTACTTGTAAAGAGCACTTCACTTTGGCATTTGTTTGGAAAGCCTTAATCACAAGGACATTGGGACAGGAGAAAGCCACAGGGCTGCCTACTTGCCTTTTCTACAGCTGATAGGTAGTTTGCTGACAAGAATGCTGATTCTATTTCATTGTTTAAGGAGACCTACCGCTTCTTAATTAGCATGATTTTAAAGCAATAAATAGCTGATTTTTTTTTTTTTTTTTTGAGTGACAGAGTTTCTGTCCACTTGCTTACTCTTCTGCTTTGGCCCACAGAGGCAGGGGTGGGGCTGACTCCAAGCCAAGAGCCAGGAAGTCAATCCAGGTCTCCAGTGTAGGTTTAGAAATCTAGTTGCTTAAAGCAAGACTCCTGCCTCCCAGTGTTGACTGGCATGAAGCAGGAGTCAGGAGCTAAATGCAGAAAGTACATCCAAGCTTTGATGTGGGACATGGGCATCTTATCTGCTAGTTGAAATGACAGCTTTGCATGATTCTGTTAACAGGTGTGCAGGTGGATAATACTGTTGGAGAGAAACAGGAAAGGTGAGTACAGACATAAAGGAAGAGGGATGAACACAGACACGTACCATACTCCAGCTGTAGCCTCCCACAAGGAAGATGCTGTCTTCAAGCACTGCACAGCCAGGCCCACTTCGACCTTCCAAAATGGGAGTTTGGAGAATATTCCACTGGTCACCTTTTGGGTCATAGCATTCCACGAGCATGACATCAAGGTGGGAGAAACCTAAAAGGTGGGCAAAATGAGGAACCGAGAAAGAATAGACTTTCAGTGTCTCTGTTTAAGAAAACGCACGTAGGGCCTAGACATAGACAATAATGTCTTTGAAGACACAAATGCTTAAATTCGCTGGGGAAATTAACTGGATGACATGTCAGAAAGGCCCAAGGGGGAATAAGAAACACCTCTGGGTGTTTTGAATTAATTCAAAGCAAGAATGTCTGAAACCATATTTCATTACTGTGGGTTAATTACATAGGGGAGGGTAGATCTTACTAAAAATGGCTTATGAAATCCTTATTTAAGAGGTTTATGCTAATAATAGTTAAATCAAGCTTTAATAGCGTGCTTATTATATGTTTAAGTGCTTTGTCCTTTTTATCACTATATGAAATCATTACTGTCATAATTTGCATTTTATAAATAGGAAAACTAAACAGTGACTTGAATATGTTACAATCCAATAAGTATATGAACTGAGGCTTGAACCCAGGCCAACAAGACTTCTGAGTTCAGACCCTTGTAGACTAAACCACATTGGCTTTCTTAAACAAATGTTTTAGTTTATTGAAAATGCAGTGTTCACAATCTTTCATCTTTTTGACAGTATAACTATGTTTATAAATAATGTGACTGGTTTCCACTGTCTGCAAGGTCTGGCTGACAGGTTGAGTACTTTCCCAGGAAGGACTCCCGACTTCTGAGAGAGTTTCTTAGAGGCTGGGGCAGTCACAGGGCTGCTGAGAACAACTTAGGTTGCTGGAATCCACTGGAACCCTGCCTTTAACTTAGTGGGTGAAAAAAAAAAAGAAAAACCACAAATAGTGGGAACTTCGTGGTCACTGAGTATTCCAAATGCTTTTTTGGGGGTCTGGTTCAATGTATGTTATGAATATGTACCTGCCTACAATGAGTTGCATCCACTAATCAATATACTCAATTTTCAACATACTTGAAAAGATGACTCAAAAAGTGGACTTCTTTTTTCTTCAAGAGGCAAACAGGGCATTTCAGATTACTATCTTATATAAATTGAGTTTCAGCTGTTAGGACAGTAGAGCAATGGATTCATTGTAATGCTGTGATGTATTCTTTCTTTTACCAATAAAGATTATTGATAATTTTTGTAGCTCATATACATAGAACAAGCAATTGGGAAAATCCCTGGCTCTGAAGGTATAGATGTGCTGACTTTTCTGTGTCAAATATCTACTGTATCCATCACAGTAGCTATCAAAAATAATTATCTTTTATCTTTTAATATTTATTTTTTGAAGATTTATTTATTTTTATTGGAAAGGCAAATATACAGAGAAGAGGAGAGGCGGAGAGGAAGTTCACTCCCCAAGTGAGTGCAACGGTTGGAGCTGAGCCAATCCGAAGCCAGGAGCTAGGAGCTCCTCCGGGTCTCCCACGTGGGTGCAGGTTCCCAAGGATTTGAGCCATCCTCAACTGCTGTCCCAGGCCACAAGCAGGGAGCTGGATGGGAAGCAGGGCTGGCGGGATTAGAACCAGCGCCCATATGGGATTCCAGTGTGCTCAAGGCGAGGACTTTAACCACTACACTATCTTTTATCTTTTATTTAGACATGAGGATACATGTATTGAATAGTGAGTAAATGCACTAGCAGAGCTCAATTCAAGGTTTAGGTGCAAAGTCTGTCCCTTCCTTGTCATGCGTCCTCCTATGCTATTTGTTACTTGGGTTGTCAGAACCTGAATCTTTCTGCCCGAGTGTAATATTACAAAACTTTCTAAAACACATAAGCAAAGGAAGCTTCCTAAAATGCTGTGCAAGTGAAATGAAACCACATTTTAATGCAGAGAGCTACAAAGTTGATATAGACTGTGTCGAGGTAGGGGTGTGATGGATAGGCAAATAAAAGTGCACCAGAGAATGCAATACAGACTAACTGGAAGAGATGTGTGGTGAACTGTCCTTTCCCATTGATGCACAGCATCTGCTGGTGAACTGACATTTCTAACTGCACATGAACTTGGAAATATCTATATAAAAATCACATCTGTGTGACCTTTATACTATTTAGGAATGAAGTTGCATTTAAGAGAAAAAATCTTTAGTACATTTTAAAAGATGTACTTACTGTAAGATAGGAGGGGTCTCCAAAACCTTGATGGAAAATGTGTATGTTAAGAAAACTGGTATGGGTTTCCAAATTCTTTTACACCCAAATAAATGTACCTTTTAATTCCATTTTACCATGAACTTTTGGACAGACCCTTGTAAATTCACGACTGTGTCTTGTCTTCCATACCCAGAATGCCTGTTTCCTATTTCGTTCAATTTCAAGGGTCATGGGATGGCAAGAGCTGGAGGAGTTTTTAGAGATGAACTAGATCAATTTCTTCATCTTTAGATGAGGGAACCAAGGCTCAAGGCAGTTCAAGAACATTTCAAATATCAGTATCGTTCTGCTTTCTGGTCAAATTCTATGTTACATACATACAACATAAGTTATATGCACATAGATAAACCGCTAAAGTTGTAATCATACATGTATTGGGGAGGGAGGAAGTAGCCTAAATCATGGCTTTGCAAATGATATGATTTAAGTTTTTTTAATTAATCAAAACAGTAGAGTTGAGGAATTAGATGATTTGATATTCAGTCTCTAAATGAATTGATTTGAAATTTAAACATAACATTCATGCAGAGTTTTTTTTAAAAAAAAATTAGAAGCAATTTTGTGGAATTGTGACAAAAATTATTATGTTTACTGTGAAAACAAGTTTTTTTTGGGGAAAAATCATTACTGAGACTTTGGTGGCAAGGAATAATTTACTTCGTGAATTCATTGTTATGACAAATTGTTGGTGCTTTTCAGTTATTCATGCTCCCATTTCTTATTTTCTCAAGACATCATTATTCATTACTTTAATGTGCGTGGTAACTTAAAAAAATAATCGGATCTTCAGAAAAGCCAAAATAAATACTTGCTCAAGGGTACTGCTAATTTACACAGGGTAAATTTTATTTGATCAACATGTTTTTTACTTGGTTAAATATAACTAACAAGCAACTCCCTTAGCAAGGAACACAAGAGGCAAATGTATTGTAATTTTAAAAAAAGAATACCTTTCAAATGATTTCCTCCAATTGCATACAGGCGGTCATTCATTACAGCCAAAGTATGGATGGCACGTTTCGTGTTCATATCTTGTTTTCGAGCCCAGACGTCCATTACAGGGTCATAACAATATAGCCAGGGGACATATTCGCCATTGTGCACACCCCCTGTGAATGAAACATACACATACAAGTCAAGAAAGTGCAATGAAACTGAGCATGGTATCAGAAGATGAAGGAATGACTTGCCTGAAATGTATATCTTCCCATTGTGCACCGCTCCTGCATGAGCTGCTAGAGGCTGTGGCAAGGAGGACACATAACGCCATTCGTTTGTCTCTAGGTTGTAGCATTCCACACTGGACAGGTAGCCAGTTTCATTCCTTCCGCCAATAACGTACAAATGCTTATCCAGCCGACAGGCATAGAAACTGGCTCTTCTACAATGACAAGAAGAAGCCCTGGTAAGTCATAGAGGAAGCTACAAAATGTCACCTTCCCCACCCCTAAAATCAGTACATTTATTTGCATTTATTTGAGTGATCTTTGGCTGACTGGTTCACTTTTCAGATGCTGGTAAGAACCCTGAATGTCACCCAAGTCTCTCTCCCATTTGGGAGACTGGGGCCCAAGTGCTTGAGGTACCACTTGCTGCTTCCCTTGGTGCGTTAACAGGAAGGTGAATCAGGAGCCAAACAGCTGAACCTGGAATGGACACTTTGTTATATTACCTTTGGTAACAGGCTAAGATTATCCAGGTAGTGAGGGAAAGAAGGGCTTATACACCTTTAAAAAGAACACATCTGTACCCTACATCTTACTCAAGAATCATATTCATTGCCCTCTCTGGTTAAAATAGTTTGAGAGAGATTCACCAATACTTGGCTCTGTGTATCTTGCTTCTAATACATTGTTAAAGTGTTTATTCATGTTTGGAATAGTTGGTATCTTCTAGGGATATCAGAGCTCAGTAACACAAGTGAAAAATGAGGTAGTAATATATAGAACAATAATAAATTATCTTGACATTCACTTTCTTTATGGTCCTTCAAGGGTCATTGTTCCCAATTTATAAGAGAACTACATCATCAACATTTTTCTTCAATTATCATTTTTTCCCCTTAGTTTCACTGCAAATAGAATAACTTTGTGAACTTCACATATTGTTAGAGTTTTTACCTTATGTACCAATTATAAGAAGTTAGGTAGGTTATGGTTTGATTTTTATGAGTCTGTAGAATATTTTGTCATATTTTTTCAAGAGTGGTTATAGACTATATCATCTTGATACGCCATGAGAAGCAGAAGATACAAACTGAGTTCAAAGGATTGGAGATAGGTAATTATGAAGTAGAATGCAATTAAGGACTTAGAATTTTAAGTGTAACACACAGAATGGGCAGAAGCCAAATATTTTAAGAAATAAAATAGCATCTTACAAGACCTCTGAAAGGAATGAAAAATGTGAAGTTGGCATGAGTAGGTTAAAGCTTGAAGCAGATCCTTGATTATTTGTTTGTTTTTCCATTGGGACTAGTGGAATACAACATTTCACAATGATATCATGGAGCTCAGCATAGAAGTACTGAGCCCCACACAGAACACACTCTATGTTGTATGGGTTAATGATCTCCATAAGGATTGATGCATTGTCTTGTACAATGTCTACTGCAAGCAAAGGAGTGTTGCAGGCTTTGTATCAGGCAAGTCTGCATTGTTTGGGGATTTTCCGGGCTGTGTTAATGAAGTGACAAAACATCTAGGATGTAACATGTAGGATCTTAAATGATGATTTCATATCTGGAGTCATATAGCTTGGCTATGTGATTTTAGGTATATTGCTTGCTCAATGTGACTTCACCCCTCTCAGCTGTACCTTGCTTATCAGTAACATGGCAACTTATGGAATCTTTCTCGTTGGATATTTATGAATAGTGTGTGTCTGAGTTCTCACATTTTGTTCATGCTCAGAAACTGTCAGTGTTATCTGAAAAGTTCTTAGCAACTGGCTCACACAATGTCAACATGTACAGTTTTGCTAATATTGAGCAAAATATTCTAGATTATATAACTAGAATTTACATACAAAGTTATAAATTATATAATTTATGACCCCATGAGAGTTTTCTAAAGGTTCATTCAAAATGGAATTAAAAGATATATTTTTGATATAAAGATTAGAAATGCATGAATATGAAAAGCATCTTTTAAAAGCTCTTGGAAAATGTATATTTTATAGAACGTGGATTTTAAAAAGCATTACACGAAAATAAACACATCCTTTAATTCCAGCTTTCATGAACTTTGTGAAAAACCCCTGAAGGTATTGCATTTTATATAGTGATGTATTCTGTTTCTATAGTGATTATGGGATTGTCCTGATAGCAATCATTGATCATTTCAAATAATACCTTTGTTATATTTAGTCTTCTAGATTTTCTTGAGTTATTTTTGTTTTGGAAGAAATTTGTGCTGCAGAAAATTCAGAAAGATGCTGAACAGTAATGGTAGTTACAAAATGTATAAAAGTAGAAAGGATAATAAAAAGAATGTGAGTTATATTTCATGAATGTTATTAAAGGTTAAGAACCCAGGTCTTCTAAGGAGTCTGTGAGGCTCTGAAATTGTAATAAACTGTGGCATCCACTAAACGATTGTCCACATGTATGTTTTTTGAAGGTGATTATTTCATAGCTTGAGTCAGATGCTTTAAGGAATATCAGAGCCAAAATGTTTGACATGGGATAGACAAAAACCCATCTAAACACAGTTATGTTTAAAAACAGATTCAAAATTAGATACATATAGGTAGATTCTTGCTTTCTCTGTCTCTAAGCAGATTTCAATTGCTACAGCTAGCCCAAAGCTATTTTTTTTTAACCTGCTAAAAAGATTGTTGATAAAATTGACACATCTGCCAAAACAAAAATCTCTTGCAGTAGCACACGTTTCTTTGCACCACTGTCACAAGGTCAGGTCAGTGTACCTCTTCCTTCACGTCCTCTCACAGTTGTTGAACCTCTAAATAATAAATGTACTAATTTAACTATGGGTCGTCTTAAAATAGTTTTGACTCTGGGTTGTCAGATGACAACAGTGAATTCTGTAATACTAGTGTAGGAGAGAAAATGTTTATTGGTCATGAATATGAAAGTGTTCTACTTAATTGCACTCACAGAGTCTTCAAAAACTTTATTGAAAATGCATATTACGAAACTACACATAATTTTCAAAAGTTGTTCACAGCAAAACAACATGTGCTTTAATTTCATTTTTCATGAACTTTGGAAGTCCCTTTGTAGATTGTGATGAATCACGGTGCTCTGGCAGCAGGAATTCCTTTGATTTAGTCTAAATGCCAGTGACCTCACTTTTCCTTACTGCGACACTGAGTCAGTCGTCAGAACATGCTGCCTTTTTCAGCCAAGGCCTTAATGTGATGTTCCATGTGTACTCCTGTCTTTATCCACACAGTGTCACTGTTAGATCTACATGGGAACAACGCAGTAGCTTTCACTTCCTGCATAAAAATGCCTTTTTGATTGGTTTTACAGTAATGATGGCCACCACCTGACTCACTCCTTTGCATGTCCAAAGTGAGAGTTCCTAAGATGCATTCCAGACATGTGGGAATGAAAATGCTTTGTCAGCAACTGAATGTCTGCTCAAGGCTAAAAGTTTACCATTCTAGGTCTGTGCTGGGGATGTTCCCTGCTTCTCAACCGCATGAGGAAAATACTCATTTGTGTGTGTGTGTATGTGTGTGCATGCACACACGCTTCAATGCTATTGAGGTTTGCTTTGCTGTGCTAAAATAACTTTAAAAAATCAGTAACTTTTACAAATATGCTTTACAACATGTCTTTACAAGTCCTTTCTGACACTTAGGCTGGTCAAGTTTTTGAAACTGAATCACTGTGATCTTGTCTCGAGTTTTTGATCTTCATTATCACATATATTCTGTTTGAATGCTGTATTTGTTTTGCTGTTTCTAAAAAGAGTATTAGAGTTTTAACTTAGATTAGGAATCCTTTTTTAAAATATTTATTTTTATTAGAAAGTTAGCTACACAGAGAGGAGGAGAGACAGAGGAAGATCTTCTATCCAATGATTCATTCCCCAAGCGATTGCAACAGCCAGACCTGAGCTGATCTGAAGCCAGGAACCAGGAGTCTCTTCTGGGTCTCCCACGTGGGTGCATGCTCCCAAGGATTTGGGCTGTCCTTGACTGCTTTCCCAGGTCACAAGCAGGGGGCTGGATAGGAAGCAGGGCCCCTGGGATTAGAATGGGTGCCCATATACGAACCTGGTAAGTGCAAGAGTGCAAGATGAGGACTTTAGCTGCTAATCTACTGCACTGGGCTCAGGAATCTTTTTTTTTTTTTTTTTTTGATGCACAGTGTTAGGTTCTGGCATTAACTTTGTGAAACAGTGTCTTGGCTATTTTTGCTCTCCATACTGCTTTGTCTACCTTTTAGAATAGCTGGGTGCTGTGCTCTCTGAAAATAGTACTTCCATTGCCTGCTCCTTTTTTTTTTTTTAAATGGAATTCCAAAGCACTTATAAAGATCTAAGTATTTTGCTTTTACTTTGCTGTTACTGAGGAATCGAATCCAGAGACCAAATTAATTTATCAGTCTTACATCTAAATTTATATTTTTGAACATTTCTTGCAGTAAATCCTGAACTAGTAGGCATGCAATTCAGGGAAGCAGGAAGCCCAAGTAGGTCTAGAGGCTGCATGCCAGCTTCCTGCCATGCAAGGGGAGGGTGGTGTTTCCAGCAATTTTGCTGTGCTCCATTGGAATATGACTAGGTAAGTTTTCCTAGGAATCTACCTGACCTACTCTGTGCTCTGAATCAGGGCTCTCTGAAGGAGGTGGTTTACAGAATTCTTACAGCCTTCTCAGTGTAATTTCTCAGCAATGTGGTAGCAGTGTAACAAGAAGATGTAGGTGAGGGAATTCTGGTTTGCTCTTTGCAATATAAAATTAACTCAAGATTTCCATAAACTTTTCTGAAGAATGCCTTCCTATATTTTAGATTCTTTTTCCTCTAGTTTCAACTGTCAGTTAATCCATACTGGTAACTGACAGTGCTTGCTGTTTGAATGGGAGCCTGGCAGTGACAGAGAAATTTCATTTGAAGTTAAGGATTACTGCCTGGGTCAACCCGCCCACAGGACAGATGAAGCTAAAAGATTGACTGGGCATTTGTGAGATCTGCCTTTTCCCACTCAGCTCTGTAAGGAACTCTTTATTTGGTCTATCGAGTTGATTGTTCTAAATCTAAAAAAACCCTTCTTTTACTAGGGACCTGACATGATATACCATAATGACTTAGAAAGAAACGTTAAACAGTCCATCCTGTCAACGGTGGCTGCCGGGCGCCGACAGACCATGGCAGGTCTTTTTATCAGGTCAATGAGCTGCTAAAAATTGTCTAAGTAAGGACCCTGCCATGATAGGCCATAGTGCCTCAGAGGAAGTCATTATAGATGATCAAGTAAACAATACACATTTTTAAAAAAATTACTAATTAGGTTTTGCAGCAGTACTTCCCATCCTTAGGGGCTCTACAGTGAGATAATTGACCGCAACGTGAGTTATGCCTCCCAGGTCGAAGGCGTGAAGGTTAATTATCGCGGTGTACAGCCCCCAGCAAAGGGGACTGCGGTAATGAGATGATGACATTTCCAACATGTATTGATTGCTATTTCTTAAACTTTTTTGAGTCGTTTTTGTTAAATGGTAAAGTAATGCAGCTACAATGACACCATTCCAGAAATCACCCCCAAAATGAGAAATAGAGGGCTCAGGAAAAAATTACAAGGAAATTTCTGATTCATGGAGAAGTTTGTCAGGATATTCATTGTCTTAAAACTACTTTTTAAGTTAGCTTTCAACTACCTTTCCTAAAAGTTTCTGTGATCTGTGATGTATTGTGCTTTGCCAGTTTCAGTATATAACTTTTAATCTCCTGAAAGTATTAACATGTTTCTACAAAATAATGTTTAGTTTGCTTAAAGTGTACACTCGTACTGTCTTGCCACACTAATGTATATCTTTTAATTATGGTGCTGTTGCTGCTGCAAAATTTCCTTTAAACTTGGAATTTATTAGTAAGGATCTAATTTGATCTCACTGTACTTGATCCTTAAAAGAAAGATAAGGGATGGAGATTCCCCACTCTGGCAGAGTGGTGTGAGGTCACTTTTGGAGGCCCACATCCTGCATTGGCATGCCCAGTTTGAACCCCAGGTCCTGTGCTTCAATTTCAGCCTCCTGCTGCTGTGCATCCTGCAAGATTGCAGGTGATACTTAAGTCCTTGTGTTCTTACTCAGTTGAGTGACCCAGATGGAGTTAACTCCTGGCTTCAGCCTGGCTCAAACCTGGCTGGTGTGGGCATTCAGGGTGTGAACCAGCAGATGGAATATTTCTCTTTGTCTCTGCCTCTCTGCTTTCTACATAAAATGAAAGGAAATGTTTTTAAGAATTTTAAAATTAAAGATACTAAGATGAAGGGGACATGCAGAAACAGGAAAAAGAATTCAGTTAGTAAGAAGGAAACAAGTAGAAGGAAGGAAATAATAGAAATTTTACATTGTCTTTTTGGAAAATTTAATTGAGGACATCTAGATTTGAAACAGCCAAGTGCTTTAAACCTAGCATGTAAACTTGCATAAGCATATAAACACACGGTAGCATGTCTGGGTACCAGCCAAGTGAGTCAAAATGTAAATTCAGATAGCAGGAAACTTAGAAGAAACAAACATCTATATGAAAACTAAGATGACACTTTGTAAAACAATCTTTTGAAGGAAAGTTAACAAATGATGTGTTGATGAATGTATGATGAGGCCAAAGAACAATTTGAGATAGTGAGACTTGAAACTAATTATTAAAATAGTAAATTTAAAGATTTATGCATTAGTTATCTAAATTTAATATTGGGTAGTTTAATATTGAAATTTCTGCATCAAAATGTATATCATTATGAGGATGGTGTTTTATATTTACATTTTTGGGATTTAAATATGTTACCATGAAGAATAAGACATCCAAGGGAATTATGGCTGTGTTTGCAAAATGCTGATCAGTGTGGTCAAGGGAAATAAGTCACAAATAATTTTTTTCTTTCTACGTTAGGACAAATGATTGACTTATTTAATTACTATTTTCTATTGAGCTAACAAAGCAGGTAATTTCAGTTGGTCAGGTCCGGTTTTAAATTGACCTCATATGTCTTTCATTGACTGTGTAGCACTGTTTCTTATGGGAATCTCTGGCATTCACACTTCCTTAAGATGCAGCCACAGGCAGTTTAGACACAGGAAATAAACACTTACCTTTCTTGCATGGGGGGAAGTTGTATCCAGCTATTGAATCGAGGGTCATAACGGCTGACAAAATTTGTGCTATGTTTTCCTGCAAAAATACATTTGAAACACTTAACACTGAGATTTCTTTTTTGATCTGAACATCGGTACCATTTTATGAGATATCTCTTGTTCTCAGGGTTAATAGATGAGTTAAGGAGAGAGTTACCTAACATAGTAGGAGAAGTAATGGGTTAGGACAGAGTAAATGTGCCACCTGAATGTTCCCCCCTCCCTTCCCATCTCTTTCCTTTGGCTTGTTTTTGGAATGAGCTGAAATAAAACTAAGCCATCATAGTAATAATTATAAACAATTTTGTCAAGCCAGTTTTAATACAGTATTAAAGTAAAAAAAAAAAATTGCTTGTTTCTAAATAAGAAGTTACTGTATATGATCTGTTCCAGAGACCAAGTTGTATTGTATCTCTGTTTAAAGACATTTACAGATGAATTTTTTTTTGGACGATTTCCTTCTTTTTCTTTTGGAAAAAAATTTAAAAGACTTATTTTAGAAAATTTTCAGGTTTATATGAAAACTGCAAGGAAGACACGGGGAATTCCTCGGTATATAATGCATAGTTTTTCATTATTACAGTATTTTCTAATGATTCAAGATTCTGGCAGTGGCAGAGTCCCTTGTCTTCCCTTAGAGACAACAGAAGTTGCTACAGTGAGAGAGAGCCTAAGTTGGGAAATCATTTGTGTCACCTGCATGTCATGTACTTCTGTGTGTTTTTAGAGGCAGCACAGATGCTGTAACATCCATACAGGTACATCTGCCCCCATGGGACACTTGAGTCCTCTGAACCGCTTCTCCAGCTTGTTCCCTCTGTTGAGAGGCTGAAGCACTGTCATGCCTTCAAGATACTAAAATTAGTCTGCTTTTGCATTCATATTGTCATCAAAACAAGAACTGCAAACAGAATATATTTCATTTTCTGTGAAGCAACTAATGATAATCACCTCAAGCTTCTGATGCCTTAATCCTAAAATCTATTCTTAAGCATGTATGTGCAACTGTGCAGTGAAGTTTAGGTTCACGTCCATGGCAGGTATGAAAAGAAAGGAATGCACATGTGACCTGATTACTGTACACAGATGGTATATAATGAGCATTCTTGATGTATCCTTGGCATTCTAGTCTCTAGAAGTAATTTGGGATACAAGAAACACTGGTCCCTGTTCTTATAAATGAATAGGAAACATACAATAGATAAGACTGCTATAAAGGAAAAGAAAGTAGGGCATGGTGGAGGGGTGGCTAACTGCTCACAAAGCTTTTCTAGAGCTATACATATGTCTGCAGAAGGATCATCTCGGACAGTAACACAGGAAAAAATAATCTATAAACTAGAAATGAGTTCAAAACAAGCAAGAAAGCTGGTGTGGCTGTACAAAAGTTGAGAGGTTTCAGGGTCTAGAATACAGTGTGCTTGCTGGACTGATGCAGGTCTCTGTGTTTTGTGTCGGGAAATATTTAAACTGCTGAAGGGTTTTGAGGGAGTAAGAAATGTCTAATTTATCTTTGGATGCCATGTAGAAAAATAGATGACAGAGTTTACCTGAATCAGGGGAAAGGTTGGGTAGCTGTTGCAGTCATCAAGCCAAGTGTTGACAATGGTGTGAGTGAAGGTGAAGTCAGTGAGATATGATTAGATTTGAAATATTTTCTATGTACAGGCTTGCTGAACATTTCCCAATGAAGTGAATATTGGTACTGAGAAAATGAGTCATTAAGGATGGCTGCCAGTTTTGTAAGCTTGAAGGAAGGTCATACAATTTGCAATTTGTTGAGGAAGACCAAGCCAAGATAAAATTCAGAGCTGGAGAGAAAAGCTGTGGGCTTTGTTTTGAACTCTGAGAATCAGATAAGCTCTCAGACTAAAGTCTTTTGGAAAGTCACTGTCTAAATAAGCCTACGGGAACAGATTTTTGTGTCATTGGTCTGGGGGCATGAAGCTGCAGGCTGGAAGCCACCGCCTGTGATTCTGGAATCCCATATGAACGTGATCCATGTCCCGGCCGCCCCGCTTCTAATGTAACTTCCTGCAAAGGGGCTGGAAAAGTAACAGAAGATGGACCATGTACTTGAACACCCACATTGGAGACAAGGCAACAAGGATACGGATAGCAGAGGAGGCAAGGGTTTATAGAGGTAGGAGAAATGGTTCAGAACATGGGCTTGAAGTGGGAGATGAGGAAGGGCTGGGAAGATAAAAGGCAGGCAGGTACTCTAGGCAGGCAAAGAAGGTACAGAGGGAATAATGAACTCTACACTTGATCTTAGCCAAAAGGCCAAGAAGCAATGGAATAATGAAGTCTAGGAGAAATGAAAGTGGTAGATGAGGAAGGTGAGCAGAAAAACAATTATAATCTGATGTTTCTAGTGTCTAGTGAGTTTGCTGTCTGCAAATTTTGGTCTTTTAATTAGTATCATTAATAAAATTATATTTGAGTTCCATGAATACACATTTCTGTTTCATGAATATGTACTGAAATTTACAAGCTTGTATTTCATTCATGGACACTAACCTCAGGCATAATTTTCATGAGAAAGTTTAACATAAGCAAATTTCATCTTTGAAGTTGCTATCTATTTAAACAACATGGATCTAAAATCTTTTCACTGCCAGTAATGATATTCAAATGTGCTACAGATTGTGCAAAGGTTATTCTTGATCAGTTTTGGTATAGATTACATGAGGCATTATAATATGAAAATCCTATATTTTGAGATGATTGAGTCTCTTCATAATTTTATAAATAGGAAATGACGCTGAATTCTTGGTGAGTTGTGGGGCTATTTCCCACTGTGCTATAATTCATGGCTTAATTTCACAAGATCAGCTGCAAAAACATGATAGCAGTTAAATATCTATCAAATACATATGTTTATGTAACAGCACAGGGTAGGATAACAATGAAACAATAAGGTTCTGGTTCAGACCAACTGGTATTGGAATCGGCTCAGCTGTATCTAAACTGTGTCCTGGCAAATTATTCAACTTCCTCAGGCTTAGTCTCCCAGCAAAGCTAGAACTATCACAGCATATGTCTGTCTGAATGATTGTGATGTAGGCACTAAGCAAGATTTCTGGTAAATATCATATCCTCAAGAAGCATTAGTACTAATCATAATGAAGTCAACAGAGGTTGACCAGATGAACACATTATGAAACCATATGGAAAATATTGAAGGGATTGTAGTGGATGCAGTGATAACTTTCCAACCCTACTCACTAAACTGATGTGCTTATCCCGCAGGTGCTATGAATGCTGGGTGTTCATGCTCTGGGGAATAGGCCACTTCATTGCCTGCCTCCTTCTCCATCTGGAGAAAGGCTTTTTAGCGCATTGACTGGTTCCTTGAAAAGGGCTCAAAAGGCTGGGTTGCTTGTCTCAAGATGTAACTAGTTCTCTCTTATTTAGGGGAGTGAGTCATCAATCTTTGCTCAGATATGTATTAAATGATGCCACCTGCCTGTAACATCAGGGACAGAATAACAGCCTCCCAGGAGGAAGCTTCCAAACTGATACTCTCCATATTGAAACTAAAAACAATATTAACATTTTGTAACTAAATTTGTAGTCAGTTTCTGCTCAGAGTGTCCTAGTGCTTAAAACTGAGAGAATCAACAGAGTCATGCCATCAGCACTGGTAATGTTTAAAAACACCTGGGCCTGGCAACAATTTGCCCAGAGCGGCTTCACATGCAGCACACTGAGTAACAGGAGAGACAGCCCTTCCTGTAAATGCAGTTGTTTTCTGAATTCTGTGTTTTCATGGCATATTCTTGGAGGGCTTTAAGCCCAACAGCTCTCAAAAATGGGGGAAGGAAGATCAGGGTAGTTCCACTGTATGCTTTTTTCAGGAGTCTAAATTGGTTCAAAAATAACTTTTTGATTAAAGCAGAAGTGGGCTGTAAAAATCTAGTGAAAGAATTTGTCTGGTTCTGCCAAGGCAACCACAGGTGGGACTTGAAATTCAGTATATCCAAAGCAGGCTAATTTGTTAATGGATGATGTTATATGGCCTTCACATGGGGTTATAGATATCCAAATGGCTACTGGCAGAAAAAGGTTTCCCCACTCTTGCTCTAGAAGGAGCAAATCCTTTAAATTCTCCTACCTCCTCCTGTTCCAATTCTCCTAGGGTGATTCTGATTCAACAGCAAGTGATAACAAGTTGTTCTTTTTTGACCTAAGCCTAGTGAGCAGATTTTCTGAGTTACTGATGAGTATGAGAGTCACAGGAATGGGAGGTACATAGTGCTGTGGCATCATTGGTCTGTTCATAGAGGCCCAGTTCACCTGGGAAGAAGTGGGCCAACAACACATGGTAGTCTGAAGCAGGACTTTCTAGCCCTTTCTTACTATGGTTTTGTGTTACTTTGGCCTTCAACAGGAACATTTTGCAGGGCTTCTGCTTAGATAAACCCAAGGATTATGCAGTGTGTTTGCTTCCAAATGCTCCATGCAGTTCAAATCACTTCCGTGGAAGGAGAAATTAAACAGTAAATGAGGATTTTGCAGAGAGGGCTGCGTGTACTTCAGAGTTTTCTGACGACTGATCGCTCATTGCACAGGTCAGTTAGAGGAGAGAGATTGAATATCATGCTTTTGCTCTTTTCAAGTCTGGCCTTCACAAAGTCAGGGGACTTTGTGCTTTCCACACTAGAGGATCTGACACAACAAAGCTACAGGCCTTAGTGAGGATGGTCCCCCTTTCTTAAAGGAAATGTTCTTGGACTGTATTCCTTTAAGATTTTCTACAGTGAACAGATGTGACAATTTTCTATCATTTGCCTTGGTGCAGATGCTGAAAGAAGAGTGTTCACAATAAAATATATGCAGTATATGCAGTTTTGGCTGGATGTTCTGGGCTTTTAAAATAAAAATGTGTCCTGCAAGCTGTTGTATGGTTTGTCAGTCCTAATTGTCTCTGTTACACAAAGGCTACAACTGCAACTCCTCCTTTCTGTGCACACTTTCTAAAAATATCTTGATAATTTTGCATAGTCTGCAAGACACAGTGTACTAGCAATTGGCTTGAGAAACGTGTGAACAGGTTCCATTGTGTCAGTGGGGAGGATGGTGGTTAACCTAGAGAGCAGGCAGTCGCAGCAGGAGGCTGAAGATAGCAAGCCTCTCAGTAACACCAGCTGAAGTTCTGGACAGGGCAATTGAAGATAATGCTTATTTATTGCAAGTGCATTGCTTTTTACTAAAATGGGAAGAAAGAAGTGGGGAAGGTGGTGAGGATTCTTAACAGCTACAGCCTCTAGGAAGCTTGTGCTGGTGGCATTCATCAGGGGATGGATCAAGATTAGGTTGCGGTACTGCTGTGAAGTCAAATCCCCAGAGAGTCGAAGAGTGAATGCTCTGCTGCATATATATTCTGTTAGTTCAACAACTGATCCGCCCTCCAGCCTTCAGCCCAATTGCCTGACTACCGCACCTGTTCCAGCTCCTGAGAAATACACATTTTTCCATAATACAACACGGACTACTCCTAAGGCCCTGTGGCCCACATGTACTTCTTGAGTATCTACAATGAGGCTGCTCAACAGTTACCATTTGGATTCCATTGGTCCTCTCCACCTAGCACGAACAAGAAGTTTTCCACCTCCACGACGCAGTGGTGGGCACTGTTGTATGGCATAACTGGAAATAAGAAAACAAAAGAAGATGTATGAAATGTTTCATCTGGGGACCTAAGACCTTGGCACACTAGTTATGTGCTTCACCAGCGAGCACACCAAGTGAAAATCATTCCAAAGGAAGAAAACAGTGCAGGTGGCAGCACAGCAACCCCCCAGCCAGCCAGGCAACCAGCCCCAACTAGCGGCTCAGTGCTGCGTCTCGGTGAATTCAAACCCCACCCCTTCTGATGAATTTTACATGATGTTATTTCACAGATTAGTCAACAACAGCCTGTCATGCTACTTGCCATTTGCAAGTTCTCTCCACCTGCCTGCCCATGGGGAGGGCATTCTGAAACGGAGTGACATCCCATTGGTCAGAGCAGAGGGGCTACTGCTGGGAAGAACTCACCCTCTGTATCCTCAGAGTCACGTGCTCTGCCCAAGCAGTTTGCTGGCAATCTTTCCATAAACAGACTTGGGTGCTTGGTAGCTTTCTATTCCACAGCAATGAGCAAGCTGAATTTCCATACAGTTTTAAGTTTTTAAATTAAGGTCCTGCTGATTTAATGCCTCCTCCAAATGTATATGCTTAATTTCCTGTACAATGTCATTAGCAGTACAATCACACATTTTCTATCTATCTGCATAGGAGCTCTTGTGTAACAAAGATGGAAACTGTCAGAAATGTCAGAAATGTCACAAGTATCCTTTTTCCCTCAGCTCTCCCATCTCTCCTGCTCAAATAGAGTGGCTGTGAGTGGGTGGGAGTGGTATTGGTAGGGATACATGATAGTGAAGGAATTGGAGTTTCTCCATATTTTTTCTCTCTTGTGTCTCTTTTGGGGAGTCACAGGGTACATCTTAGGACACCCTTCTCTGTGTGCCACCTGGGGTTAGGTTTCGCTATTATCATATGTTGAATATACATGCACCTGACATTAGTTATTGCATCACATGTCGTGGTTTGGGCCCAGTGACACCAGTAGGAAAAATGATGTCCTTGCTCAGCTCATCATCTGGGCACCTTAAATCTAGGTGAGGACAAATGGGGAGGTGATGTGCATGTTCAGGCAGGGAACTTATTGCTTGACACGGATCAACAGAGCACTTAAGAAACCAGTGCAGTGGGAAATCAATATGAGTCCCAGCCAACTCCTACCCTGTGCTCTTCTGCCAATGCAGAGACAGAGAAGAAGAGAGCCTATCTCACACCTGACTTATTTTGGGTGATATATACCTCTTATTCCTTTTTTTGAAAATAAATTTTTTTCTCAGTGCTTGTGCAGTTAGGATACACAAATAACCATAAGAACAGGCATAGCTTTCAGACCTACAGCCCAGTTTCTGAAATAGCAAATAAGATTATGAGGCTTTTGAACCAAGGACTTTGCTAGTTTTTGTTCCTTAACTAGCAATGTATTATCTGTTCTGTGAATATTTATTCTTTTTGAACCTGTATCAACCAGGGAATGCCTGTTGGTACACATACCCCTGATTTGGTGATAAAATGGTCTGTGTGGCCAATGAAACAGCTTAGGAATGGTCTTTAGCTCCTCAGTAGTCCTCAGTTTATCTATTTGGAAAATGGCATCACTTAGAATTCATTGTGGTACAGAAGTATATGCTGGGCTCACTGAGTGACTAGGCTTGAGTATGTTGTAAACATCCTTTTAAAACATTAACTTCTTATGATTTGTATTCTGATGTTGGGTCCAAAATTTGAACATAGAATCAGGATGCACCATGTGCTATTGGGAGCAGCCTGGTGCTGCCCCTAATTCCCTGTGATAGTCTTTGGTCAGTCTAAACCTTGTCAGCAATGTCATCTGTATGCATCGAGGCACAGGGGATGTGGCAATAGGGCACAGGCCATAAGCTGTCATCAACTCACTCTAGTTGTCACTGTGCTGCAAAGACTTATTTTAACCTTCTGGTCAGCCTAAGTCTTTTAAATAATGAAAAATTATATTCTCTTTAGTCGGACGTCCAGCTTCTTCATACTGCACAACCTCTGAAAATTTAACACTTGTATTTTGTTCTTGCCATTCATTTGTTCCCACTCAGGCACACAGAAATTAAGTGAAGGAAATAATACATGATTTATTTTTAAGCCTCTTTCTCATTTGATTACCTCTATTGTTATGCGTTCTGCAAACAAATGACACGATTGCACTAAGCTAACTACTGAACTCTTCAAAATAAGGGGAAAGAAGGTCTTTGAAGTCTTAATGTACAATCTGCGTGAAGGTACTCTCATTTGTCTATACATTAATTTTCACAATAAAACCTGCATGCTGTATATCTTGCCTGAACGTTTTGGTTTTCTCATCCCTGAATTATTGTATTTCCTGAATTATTACAGTGAATTAGGAGACTGCAAATATCTACAAATAACTTCTTGAAATTATTCTGCATGTAAAATGCTCCACATTTATCAGGGTACAAATCTATATTCAAACGGTGTCTGAAATGTAAAATACATAATGTCTTTGACTTCTGAAGAAACGCAAAGAGAAGCAAAATAAACAGGATAGTGTGTGAGAACAGTGTGCTTAAAATGGCACTGGGCATCACATTGGTTGGTTCTGAGTGCCAATAAATACTCACCTGCTCCTGTCCAGATTTCTCCTGAGGTGGACACCTACCGCGCAGCCTGGCAGTGGAGGAGGTGTGTGCTGAGGCTCATCTACAGCCTCATGTGAGTTTTTAGCGTGTCAGTCAGTGAGTTAGAGGGAAAGGGGAAAGAAGCTAATCAGGATGAAATGAGATTAAAGGCTGTCTAATTTTACAGCAACTGTGATCCATCAGCCACTGTGAAAGTGACAGTGGAAATGAATGATGGAGACAGACAGGTGGGGCTGTACATTTCACTGATTTATCCTCAAATGCACTGGGCCTTATTTTATTGAGTGAACATGACCGCATTCATCATGACTGTCATCTAAACCCACTTCCCTCCATTTAAAAAGGTCACTTTACTCAGAGGGAGTAGGAGAGAGGCACTTTCAAATCAGATTTAAAATCTCATAACACGTGTTTATAAGGTCCTTTATGCAAATTCTCAACTTTATCAAGCAAACTAGCAGTACCAGAAGCAGAGGAGCACAGAGAAATAAAAAAGTGAGTGTTGGTCATCTGATGTCTCTTAGATTTGAAGCAATTTAAACAAGTTTAGCTTTTCCCAGTCCAAACGGCAGATATTCTACTCTAAATGAAGGAGTTAAGATGTTTAAATGTACTGTTTTAAATTTAGATAGCAGGAAGCAGGTAATACTATAAAATAGACTTGGAGATAATATTGTGGTATTTACTCTGTGGAATGACTATTCATCACACATGAAATAGATGTTAGCAACAGTTACAAGCTAACTCTGCCACAATTATACACCTGCTAATTGTTTTCCATAATTTTAAAGCCATAAAAATCTCAGCTACAGAAAGCCTTTCACCCCTCCCTGAACCAGTGCACTAAAATGTCTCAGTATATTATGCACAAACTTGTTCTTTGTGAATGTGAAAATGGGAAGTCAAATGTTTAGAATATGATGTGTTATTTTTCACAGTAATAACTACCATTTGCCAAACATTTATTATGTGTCATGTATATGTAAATTAACTATACAATTATCTGTTTACCTCTGTTGTTTCTTTGGAAATATTACAACATCTGTATTTTGTTCATGCTGTTGTATTTTCTTCTATTCAGGCAAGCAGAAATTAAGTGAAAAAATTATACATGATATTATCTGACAGCATATAGGGTAGATTTCTTTATCTCCACTTACACAACATTTTTCATTTCATATGACTGACTACAAAGGGGGCAATGCCACTCCATCTCATTTCTGCACGAAGTACTGAGGCTTTGAGAGGAGAAGTCACTTGTTGAAGGTCATACTCAGCTAACGGATGGCACAGACAGAAACTAAACATGGGGATATCTGGATCCCAACCCACGCTCTTATCCATCTCACTCTACTGATTTTCAATAGGTATGTTCATCCAACCAGCAAGTCATTACTGAGTACCTGAGTGTTCACTGACAGGGCTTCTGAGACTTGTTTATAATTTTTTTTAATATTGAAACATATTCTAAGTGTGGTTCTAGTCTGAATTTTAAAGAGATGTTCCTTGGGTCTTTTTCCTATAATCTAAATATTCAGGTATGCAGTTGGCTTTTGTGCAGTAGACATTTGTTTGATGGAATCAGAGAAGCACTGAGCAATGCAGTCTATGAAGGGTGGTTGGAGACCATTGGCATAGGATTTTTATTACAGTTTTTAAACAAGGAAGACAGAGTTTAACCTTGAAACAGTATCTTGGCTAAAGAGGCCATTTTCCTGGTGGACTTGTTTGTATTTATGGAGGCCTTAGTTAACTAGAGGTCCACCCTGCTCTTTCTCCTCCCAGATTTTATATCTCTTCAAGCAGAAAGTATAGGGATCTTTCACAACTCACAAATTTTCATGAACATTCAAACAAGAGAGTACATAGGGCTATGCCAAGAATACAGGACTGCTAAGTGATGGTTATGGAATGTTTGTCATTGAGATGGAACATTGAAAAGTGCCTTCTAAAACTGTCCAAATATGACAACCTTCTCAAATTGTGTGTGAAAAAAAACTATATCCATAAAAGTCTCCCTCATTTCCCTGCTCTCTAGTTTTCTTTTTTCTTAAACTGTCATTTCCTTATTTTTCATTTTGTTTGAAATCTAGACATTCTCCATCTGCTGGATCATTCCAAAATGCCCGCAATAGCTAGGTCTCTACTGTGAAGCCAGGAGCACAGAATTCCATTGGGCTTTCCTGTGTAGGTGGCAGGGATCCAAGTGTTTAAGCCATCACCTGCTGCCACCCAGGGTGTGCTTTAGCAGAAAGCTGATATTGGAAGAGGAGCTGGGACTCAAACCCAAGCATTCTGGTATGGGATGTAGGCCATCTTGCTCATTACTGAATCAAATGGCCATCCCACCTTTCACTGTGCTAGCCAAGGGCTGTCACTGCTGTTGTACTCTTG